AACAAATGTTTTAATAAACTATTAGCATTGACTCACTAAACCAGAAACATTTGATTATCACATTTACTCTAAGATGTATCATTACCCAATAAAAGGAATATATCTCTATAGGGTATATAAGGAATATATCTTAATTCTTTAAAAAGGAACAAAACTATGTCATCACACTACAAATAGTTTCCACCATTTAATAGTGCACTTATTGAAACCCACTTGGAAAATATTTGTCACAATAAAAATGCATTTTTATATAAATCTGTTGCATCAGAGGTGGATTTTTCTATGTTAAATTCTTAATGATAAGCACAATAACATGAATAGTAATGTTTACAGTAGCCAAAATTAACCTAACTAAACTTTGCTAATCCACTTCACTTAAGTTTAAATGGAAGAATAATTTTTCTTCACTTAAGTTTACATGGAAGAATGATTACAAAGTTCCAGTAAAAAAATATTTTTCCCTAGCTTATATTTTAAAACTTTTTATAAGATTTAGCAAATATTTGTATCTCATATTCTCTTTATTTATGTTCAATAAGCAATGCTTGAAAAGAAAATATTGAGTGGGCTATTATGCATTAATTAAAGAACATGAACTAGAATGAAATCCCACCATCCACAACTCCCCACCTGAAATCTGAAAATGTTTCAGGATTTACATGAAACTCTGATAAAATGATAATTTGATAAAATGATTAAAATCCTCTGCCTATGGTCAAGGCAGGAAGGCTAAAACGACTGGTTAGTCATAAGGTGACAGGGAAATCATATAACATTTAATCCCTCTGAAATTAAATCAATGTGTTTAATTCAGTACAAATCTGACATGCAGCTACTACTTTAACCTCCAGAACTAAAGAGATATTTAAAAAAAAAAAAAAAAAAAAAAAAAAACTAAAATCAAGCTGAAGAGAACACTTAACATCACCCAAAAAATAAGAATAAAGATGGCTTTGTTTCTATATGTCTCCCCTGCTAGCAGGCAAGACAGACACAGCCACTTAAACAGACTGACTGAGATGTGCATTGTCACCCAGAGGGCAAATGCTTTGCAAGATCCCAACCGAGCTAAATGAATGCCCTGTAAACATGTTTGCTTAAGCATAAGCCCCATTTTTCTTTGAAAATGTAATGGTCTGCAATTGTGTTTCTCAAGAATTGCAACTGCCCTTTAAGTATTTTTCAAAAGGAAAATAAAAATGAACAAAAAAGTGGTTCACCTACTACAACTACAACTCCCATCCCACCCAGATTTGAAATTTCTTGAAGCTCAGTGGATTTAAATTGGCTCCTTAGTAAGGCAGTCTTCAAGATTATTCAGTCTTTAGACCTGGAGTAGATTTTTTTTTTTTCTTATTGATTTTTTACAGAGAGGAAGAGAGAGGGATAGAGAGTTAGAAACATCTATGAGAGAGAATCGTCGATCAGCTGCCTCTTGCACACCCCCTATTGGTACATGCCCTTAACCTGAATCAAACCCAAGACTTTTCAGTCTGCAGGCTGATGCTCTATCCACTGAGCCAAACCGTTTTGGGTTGGAGTAGATTTTTATTATCTCACAATAACTCTTTGAACCTCAGTGTTAGCATAGGTAAAAACAAAAAACACGAATAGTCTCTAAGAGCTGAAGTAAGATTCGAACTAGATGAGATAATGGAGGATAACACCAAGCCTGGCACACAGAATAGACTTACTAAATGCAAATTCCCTTCTTTCTTAAATACCTTCACCTGGAATGAAAGGTATGTGCTTTATCCATAAATGGAGTTGTCTTAGAAAGAACTACCAACAACACACAAAGGAACACCACTTAAACTCATTTTGATCAGATCACTATAACTACCGCTAAGAAGTAGCCACTATGGAAGGTTGATAAAGAGAGCCTTACAACCTCCCAACAACCTACCAAAGTGAAATATTGGACACTATGGAAATAATAGAGCACTGTAAATATTCCTTCAACCAAGCACAGTTGCAAAGAGAAAAACACCTTCCTTTTTTCTTCTTGCCTGGAAACAGTTTAAGATGAAGTGGTTAAAAAAAAAAATGTTTTTCTTTTGTCAATGTACTTTGAAGTATTATTTGGGTCAATCAAATCAATGGGTGTTTTCTTTTTATAGGTCACTTAAAAACCCAATTAATTAGAATTTTTAAATTATTTGAAGGAGTAGAATTTTAAACTGGCAAGAATGATTAGAGGCATTTCATAGCAAAAATTATATCCACTATAGTAACTGTCAATGACATTACCATATGTCATTCCAATGTGAATGATGAGAATGTGTCTGACTGAAGCAAAAATGTTATTATAGGTTTGCACATCTGCTAACCTAACTGGTTTATCAGAATGTGCACTTCAATCACCCACTTGTCCTTAGCTTCTCAGATGCAGTATTTATTACAGGAACTGGTAATCTTTAAAGCTTGTGAAATTATCTTTCACATCCTCTCCACAGCAGCAAAAAAAACTCACCCTGTCCATTATAACCTTAGAAACAGATGTCATTATTAGAAAGCAACTTGGAAATCATCTTAGCCAATCCCTTTATTTTTACATATTAAGAAAAAGATTTCATTAACAGAAGAAAAAAAAAAAAGAAAAACACACACACACACATTAAGAGATTTGCCTAAAGAAGTCACATAGAAACCTAGGATAGGAAACTCACTTTGCCTCCCTAAATACCATGTCAAGCCCTAACCTTTAACTTTGTTTATGGGGTTGCTGTAGATGCTTATGTGGGCAGCTCCAGAAGCATGCTGGGAAAAGCAGACCTTGAGATGGTCCCTGCTCAGTGCCTCACATCCGCCCTCCAACTCCCCAGTTTCACAAGGTCCAGCAGTCTAGGTGTGTGAGATGAAGTGAGCACATCAGCAACACAAATTAACTGAGAATGAACCAACTGTATAAACTGTAGATTAAAGGTAGGAAGTTTTTCTTGTTTCTTATCATCACAGTTTCATCTTAATTCTTCAAACACACCCAGACAGGCATTGGTGAAGAAGAGCATCAACCAATCTGCTCAAGTAACCCAAGCCACAGAAGCATGCCTAAGGGAAGACAAAGTGGGACAGACTTCCCAATCCAACGCCTAATCCATTTAGAAGGCTTGTTCTCATCATCACAGTTTTTCTACCAACACCAGAGGTTCTCATTTCCAACCTCTGGGAGATATATGAAATGACTGAGAAGTACTCATACTTTGTTTGATAAACAGATAACATTTTTTCATAAGATGACCTGTTTAGGACTACCATGAGAAAGTGTAAAAAAAAAAAAAAAAAAAAAGTCAATAACTGGAGGTTACGTTTCTTTAGCAAAGTGTGGTGTGAAGAAAACCGTCCTGAATATGGGTGTTCAGCTATGTCCCAGGTAGAGAAATGTTGGTTTTCATAGAATATTATCTAACAGACCAACATCCCCAACCCCAGCTCAAATAAATAAATGTGCTATCAGCTGATATTAGCATAAATACAAAGAAAAAACATAATTTGGAATTAAATTAATTGTATATCTTCAGAGTAATTTAATGTCTCTTATTTTACTTTAGACATAACAACACTTTTAAAAACCTTTTAGTTGGGGCTTGTGGGGCCTTGAAACACATAACTTTAAGTAAAATCTCACCAATAGAAAAAAAATGCATACTGGGGGGGAAAAATCTGTTTTTTCAAAACCTTTCTCCTCCCCACAATTTACATTCTGGAATGAATGACCTGAAATTTAAGCTTATATGTCTGGTATCCATATCTACAAAAATTAGACATCAGCTTTTCAAATGTCCCTCTACTTGCCCTTAAAACCAAAAGACATATTTTTAAATTTTCAGGTTTATGAGTGTTATAGTAAGTTTCATTACTTAAATCTGTTCATAGTTTATAGTGAAGCCAAAGTGAAAGAAAAAAAAAATCAAACTTCTGATCCACCTAGTCTGAACTCATCTTAATTTTACACATTGTTTTGAACATCAAGGGGGGAGGTAGGCATTTTTATCCATTATCCCATCTCCAGCGCCTCTCACAGTCACCCTTGATGGTTTTCTGTAGATGCTATTTAATATAACTCGCATAGAAAATTTAGCTACAAAATGCTTTTTTCCAACAGCAAAGACAATCAGCCTCTTTTCCTGTAAGGTGGAGATCTAGAAGCGAAGTGAGAACATTTGGGAGCATAAAATTAGTCTGCTTAACTTTAATAACCAAATGGTGATGGGGGGGGGGGGACAAATTTCGCATTTTCAGGAATGGGGTGCAAGAGTTACTAAGTCTAGAGGGGCTTTTTCCTCCCTGCGTAGTACGCAGCAAAACTAACCAAATTATGGTCCAGAATAAAAAGGTAACATTCGTTTTCAAAGCACTCATTTAAAAGTACAGTGAAGAGGTCCTTTTTTAAACACCCACATGTTTAAACATAGCAGGAGTGTGGGGCCGATGTGAATCCCGAGGGAATGAAATACACATTTACCTTCATAATTAGACCCCGTAGGTCAAATGTGAGCGAGGCAAACGGGCATAAACCACCAAGACAGACTGAAAATAGACAACACAAAGTGCCCGTCTGTCCCGGGAGCCCCGCTTGCTCTCTGCACGGCCAGCGGCCAAACATCTGCGGGCACAGAGAAACCTCGCACCAGCGGGGTAAGGGAGAGACGCCTAACTTTCCCACATAAGTTAGTTCGTCTTGCTGATCTAAACCCAACAGGTGTCAACACCTTTGCCACCACGCTAAATCCTCCCGAAAGCAATGAGTGGTTAGTAAGTGAAGCTGACAAGTCCTGACCGCTGGACCGGGTCCAGCCGAGTCCCCGTTCCCACGGATGGCACGGAGGTGGGGAGGAGGAGGGATGGAGACGCGGAGGGAGACGCGTGGAGATTCCGCGCCGCTAACGCAGCGGGGGAAGCTGAGGCATATGGACCCGGGGCTCGGGGGAGCCCTGGACCTCTGGGGTGAGGAGGGTCTGGGGGTGCAGGAAGGCTGGGCGGAGGGCGCGCGGTGGTACCTGCTTGTCCAGCGCGTCCCGGGCGCCGCCTGGCCCGGCCCCGGCCCTGGGCGGCGCGGGCGCCCGCTCGCAGCTGCAGCCCTCCAGGAGGTACATGCCCGCCGGGCGGCCGCTCTGCTCGCCCTCGAAGTAGAAGAGCACATTCTGGTAGAGGGCGAACCACTTCTCGTGCCAGCGGCTCGCCTCGGCCGCCTTCTTGCTCAGGAAGCCGCGCTTGGTGCCCTCCTTGCGGGCCAGGAGGGCCAGGTACAGGGCGTGCCCCTCGTTGTAGCGCACGCTTTTCTGCATGGCGAGGGCGCGGGCGCGGGGGGCTCAGCCCTGCCTCGCAGCCATCCCCCGGCCGGCTGCCCGCGGGGCCCGCTCGCTGGAGTCCGGTGGGCAAAGGGCGCCCCCTCTCCAGGCGCTGCGCGCAGGGCACCCGGCCGGCCTCCGGGGCGCGGCGCCGCGCGGGTCCGAGGGGCGCGGGGCTGCTGCCGGCACGTTCTCCGCCGCCGCTGCCGCCGCCCTGCCGGCCGGCCGGGTCCCGGAGCCCCCGACGTCCGCCGGGAGCGCGGCCCCGGAGCGCGCCCGGCCGCCCGCGGCTTCGCCCAAAGTTGCGGGAGCCGCGGCGGATCCGGAGGACTGTCCTCGGGCAACTCGCTCCGGGAGACAGAAGGTGAAGCGTCACGTGGGAGATCAGCTGTAATCGGCTTGGAGACCGATTTAAAGGGCAAAGTCGCGCGGCGGCGGCGGCGGGGACAGCGGCGTGCAGCCCGCTCACCCGCGCGCAGCCCGGGCCGCCGTGTCTGCTCCTGCGCCAACCGGGCGCGATGGGGCGCAACGGGGCGGGTGGCGGGAGGTGCAGGCGCGTGGCCACGGCGCACACCCGTTCCCACGCGCGCCCGCACACACACAGACACACATATATACTCACGTACACACAAATGCACACTCCAACACTGCGCAGTCACAACACAAATGCTCACATTGCACAATTATACACACATCGTTCACACACAATACATACACACAGTCACAAAAATACACACAATACTTACACAGAAAAGTATGCACTCACATATACACACACCCACAATGTGCACTCCTACACACAAAAATACAAACCCATATATAAATACACCCACAGGCACACACTGACATGCTCACCCAAATGCACATTTACACTCACAAGCCATACCTCACACACCCAGCCTCACACAAGTGCACAATAGACACATGCACACATTTACACTCAACATACTCGTACACAACACAAACTACACACAAAAACACATCCGTACACAAAGCATTTTTACTCACACAGTCATAAACACACACTTATACAGGCAGACACACACTCAAATACACAAACACAATAAACATGAACGCACATACACAAGTGAACATACAAACACATTCGCTCAAAAATATGCACACATACTCATACACAAGAACTCACAAACATACGGATACATATTCATGGGGATTCATACACTTTCCCAAACCCACTCACACAGAAAACATGTTCTGCTGCATCCATGCACTCACACTTACCCATGAATGTGTTTCCATGGCAGGGGGTGGAGTCACAGAGTGGCTTTGCATAATGGCAATCTTGACTTTTCCCGGCATACCTGCTCTATTATACTTAAAACAGGAATGGAGTGCAACCCCCCTGTTCCAGGAAGGTACAGATGGCTCTGGAGGGGAGGAAAAATAATTTTCCTTTTACCCTTCTCTGTTCTTCTGGCTTGTCTAAAAATTAAATAGACATGAGACAGATTAACAGGAGAAAATAACCAAGTTTATTACACATTTACACATATGGGGGTTCCATACAAATGTGAGACTCAGGAACTCTGTTAGTTACGGTCTGTATGCTATTCTGAGCTAAGGAGAAGGGGTGAGGATTGTGGTTTGGAACTTCAAAGGTGAGGAAAACAGTGCACAGGGAGACGAAGCATTCATTATGTTTAGCAAACAGTGTGTGGGACCATTTTGAAATTATGGGACACAGGAAAGACTTTGAGCAAATGGGCCTTGCTGCACGAGTTCATATTAAACTATAATGATCTATGACAGGGATTTCTCAGGATGAAGGTAAAGGAAGCTAGAAGTTCAGCATGGAGTTTTTAACCATAAAAATATACCCAAACAAGGGAGACTGGCTGCCCCTGGTGGTGTCTATCCCCAGAAGCCATGCTGTCCTACGTTTGCTCACGCTTGATACCCTGGGTAGGACTGGAATTCATTTGATTAACAAATCTTGCAGATACATCCAGGAAACCAAGACCCTCTACTATAATGTGTAAGTGGAAGGGAAATAATGTGCCCAGCAGCTGTGGCAGGAAGCTTCGGAAAGCCCCAGGGAACAACAGTACTTGGTTCTGCTATATACATTTTTTTCACTCCCCTTAGTCACTTATAAAAATGGTTGGCCATAGAGTGCTTATTGTGAAAAATAATAATAATAAAAAATCCTTTTGTGGGCCATGAATCTGTGACAATGCACATGTCTTGTACCACTAGTTGTATGTTCACAAATTGGTAGCCCAGGGGTTCTGCCTGTTTTGTAAGTGCTGTGTTTACAGACTATTTTAACTCTGCCTCACTGAGCAGTTGAGTGTTTTATCCATTAAAAAAAAAACTAATAGGCTTTCTACTATTAAAAACAATTTAATAGGGAAATTGCCATTTGAAAGTAGCATGAGAACAGTGATTATCTCTCTTTACATATTTTAAATGTGTAAGAGACAGTGCTGTGTTAATTTGGGTTTCACCCAGCTGGGTGGTTCTTTAGAGGAGACACAAGAGTAGAAACAATAAGTAAATATGGACGATTCTCGATACAGAGGAGATGGCAAGTGCCTCAGGTAACATTTCTCTCTCTGTGGTCATATTCCAGCCCTGAGAACCATAAGTCAGTTGGCACCTGCTTAGCTGATGAGCTCCAGTTTTGAGAGGAAACCATTAAGGGTGTGAATTCATACAAAAACAATTTTGCAATGAGTGTTCAAACCTTCTAATCACTTGTTTTTTCAGATGTGAAACATTCTTTTCCCCAATAAGCAATATCTATGGTGTGGAAGCTAATCTCAGTGCTGATTCATCCTTTCTGTCTACTCAAATGTCCTTTTGATTTGAACCACAAAAAAATTATGCTTCTCAACTTCTTATCTATCATCACTTCCTACCATGTAAGTGGTTATGGCTGTCATATGACCCCTAACAGTGACAGAAGGTCACTGGTTTCCTTTGCAATTTGGCCTGTAATCACTGTGGGCTTTAATTCTGGAAATTCACTGCAAGAACCGTTTATTAATCACCTGTTATGTCCTCAACACAGTATTTAGGTGATGGGTGACATACAGGAAAGACTGCTTCTGGTGTGCTCCGTCTGTCAGGAATAGGATTTCACGTGCAGGCACTGCTTCTCACCAGACCAGCCGTTCTCCAAGGCAAGGCTGTCTCCCTCACGCCTGCAGCACCCAATAGGAGAATGTGTATGCAGTAGGCACACAAATGATGCATGGCTATTTTCTAAATCAATATCCAGTGATTGAATTGTGGAAGAGAGCGTACAAATTTGCAAATATTACATCACTCCACACACGATGGTACGAGATGAAAACAATGAGAAGTCCTGAACAATCTCCAGAAGCTGTATCAGGGAATGTCTGATGGGCATCTGGGGGCCTTCAGACTCCTTCGTTCATATAGAAACTGCATCCCTGGAACCGTGCCACCTCGAAACACAAAGGGCCGGGAGGTTATGTAAATGAGGATGCTTTCTCCCCCAGCTGATCAAACAGGTCGGTAAAAGGAACTCTGTTCCAAGGGGTGGGGACCAGCTCTTCTATGGAGCCATTGTTTTCCCCTCTTGTGGTTCATGGACTCGTTGCCAAGAGGGTCAGTTTAAGTTGATTTTTTTTTTTTTAGGGCAATAAAGCATTTCTCACCAATAACAGCGAAAATCCTCTTTGTCTTATTCTAGGCAAAGTTAAGAGAAAAAAAGTTAGCAATTAACTGCCATATCTGGAAACCCTAATTACTACTTGTAGAGGGAGACTGTATCCAGATAATTTAACAAAAAAAAAAAAAAAAGAAGGGAGGGAGAAAAGGAAGGAAGGAGGTGGTGGAGGGAGAAGAGGGAGGGAAGAGGGAGGGAGGGGAAATTTTACCTGAATTGTCCAGGCTATTAGGGGTGGGAGGAGCTCATTCCACAAGTGTAGAACCGAATCCACAGTTTTTCAAATCATACCTGAGCAGCTGGCCCAGGAGAGGGCCCTCAGGCAAAATATTATCCAGAGGTTCGGAGGAGAAGGAAGCTGACCGAAGAGAGTGACAAAGAAGCAAGGAGACAGGGGAGGGCTTGGAGAATGTGGTGTCCCGGAAGCTTAGTAAAGAAAAAAAAGTGTTCCAAGGAAAAGGGAGTGACTTTGTGAAGGTCACACAACAGGGTACATGCTCTTGAATCCATATCTTGTCACTGTCATGACCTGCCCAACTTGGCATACGCTGAGGCGATCTGGCTGCTCAGGCAAGGAGCCCCTTGGTCCTGCTGACAAGCACCAAATGCCCCAGCACATTCCCCTGGGGCTCCATGTCTTCATGCTGATTCCGCCTCTTCTTGTGCCGTGGGAGCAGATGCAGATGGTGGGGGGACAAGCTGCCTGCTCTTGCGTAGACTGAGCTTTGAAAGTTATGAAGCCTTAGGAGTAAAAGTGGAAAAGGAGCCAGGGAGACTTTGGAGCGATTTGAAAACGATACCAATTTTATTTCTCCCAGAAGTTGGGAGAAGAGGATGCCCCGTTGAGGCGGAAACTGGACCTTCTTGAAAACTCCTGGAGCAGGTGCTTCAGTGCAGACACGTAAAGCCAATGCCCTCTCCTGGGCCTGGGAGACAACTGGAAAGGGACCTGAATGTAGGTATTCGGTGTCAGGAGCCCAGTCTTCTCCGGTAATGCCTGTTACTGTGTGCATGGCTACTCTGGGAAGACATGCCTCTTTACTTGGATGTGGATGACAACCAAGTGGCCCCTGGACAATCAGCAGTCATCCTGTAACCGGAGGAGAGCTAGCAGGAGGGTGAGGTCGATGCTGCAGAAAACAGAACGGAGAGACATGTTTCAAAAAGGGTGGGTGAGTGGGGAGGGGGTGATGACAAGTTGCACCTTCGAGTGAAGCCAGCACTGAAGTCTGCATTCTCCGCTGAGGTTTCTGTCATGTGCGGTGTAATGAGGTTGGAGTGACACGTGAGGACAAATATTATTACAGTGAGAGCTAAGTAAAAATCAAGTGACAGTGCA